AGTAACTTCCATGTAGGAGACTTTTAACAAAGACCAGCAGTATGTCCCACTGGATGGATTGGCTTCCCTCTGACGGTTTGTTTCCAACCAACACTGCTCACTCATTGTACACCTCAGAGGACATTCAGAACCAGACGGTAGTTATCTTTACCTAGAACACCAACCATGCCTGGCTGTTAGTGGTAAAGAAAGTGTGAATTTACTATGTGAATTCTGACAAAGAGCCAGACAGAAACCCTCTGGGGATTCTGAGTCTCCAAAGCTGTCTAGGGATTTGGTCTTACCCAGTTCAAAAGCAATATGATGAACACAGGAGCACTGAATACCTTATGCTTTCTGAATACCTTATGCTTTGACTCTCTCTGTTTTCCCTCTCTCACTCCTATAAAGGTATCCAGTGATTTAGTCATTCCTGCCTAGATAATTTCTCCATCTTAAGGTCACTGATCTGTGACCTTAGTTATCGATGCAAAACACCTTCATTACAGCACTTGGATTATGCTTGATATGTTTGATAGACTGGTATGTGTCTACCAGGGTAAAAAATATTGGGGTCATCTTACACGTTCTTCAGTTAAACTGGCTTTCTAGTTTAAAAATCCACTTCAGAAAAAAAATCCACTTCAGACTTAAGGCTGGTAGTTTATAATTGGAAAAAGGATAATTTTTCTTTGTCTGCCCAAGAGGCATCTGGTAACATCCAGAGACATTTAGTGATACTTAGTACGTAGGGACCAGAGGTGCTGCTTGAATGGAAGGACACAACCTCCCTACAGTGGCTATGAACTCAGTTATCTACACTCTCAGAACTATGAGCAGCTTCCCAGGTACAGACGGAGAATTCTTTGCAGTCTTTTTGAGTAGTCCTGAGACCTCAAGCAAGTAACTCACCAGAGCAAGAAAAGATGGGACTTATAGGAGAACTCCCTGAGCAAAAAGTGATCCAGCCCAAGTTGTCAGACTTGTCAGGGTTGGGAAACCCTTTCGAGGAGAAAAGCATAAAGACAATTATTAATATACTATGAAATTATAGTATCCAACCTCATGCATATAAACCAATGTGCAAGCAAAGCTGGCAGAATATGGAAGGAGAGTAGGAAAAGAAGAGGCAGGGTCAGGGTACTACAGAATGGGAGCTAGCTATAACGGGCAAGGTTTACAAATAACAACAATAAAACACTTAAACCAGGAAGGGGAGGGAGAAGGGAGTGTGTGGGGACAATAGGAGGCAGTAGGCAGTGGCTAAAATGCACAACCAAATGACACTTTAAGTTCTCACTTGAAATTATGGTACTAATCCCCTAAAAGAACTAAAACTTTTTTAAAAGGCCTCAAAGACATTAATCAAGGAATTAAGTCTCAGAATAGGCAGAAGAGTGCAATAAAATGAGCTGTTCCTTTGTTTTTTAAAAACAACAATGAAAACAATGTATAATTGTATAGTTTTTAATAAAGAATAAGAAGAATACATTTTTTTAAAAAGGCTTACAGGTTAACCTTAAGTTAATTTAGTACTTTAAGTAACTTGTGGTACAGTAACAGTACTTAATACAATATTGTACATAGTGTAATAAAACTGATATTTTACTAAACGCACATGGTAGTCTCTAAGAGCTTTTTTTATTTTGATAATCTCATTAGCTATTTACATTACAATAAAACTTTTGGCCGGGCGGTGGTGGCGCACGCCTTTAATCCCAGCACTTGGGAGGCAGAGGCAGGTGGATTTCTGAGTTCGAGAGTTCGAGGCTAGCCTGGTCTACAGAGTGAGTTCCAGGACAGCCAGGGCTACACAGAGAAACCTTGTCTTGAAAAACCAAAAAAAAAAAAAAAAACTTTTGCATTCACCCTCTGTTTCTGTAACAAGTCCTTGAGACAGATCAACTCAAAAAGCAGAAAGGTTTATTTTGGCTCTCGGTTTTAGAAGTTTCAGTCCATGGTCCATTACCACTGGGCCTGTGGCAGACAGAATATTTTGTGGTGGAAACATGAGGCCAAGGAAGCTGCTTACTTCTTGGTGGTGTGAAACAAAGACAGGACACCCCACCCCCACCCCAGGGACCTAAGTTCTTTCCACTTAGCCTCCACATTCCAAAATTTCCCCTGCTTCCCAGGAGGCACCACAGGATGAAGAACAAGCAAGCCTTCAATACACAGGCCTTTGAGGATACTTACCCAAACCATAACAACCAGTTTTTAAAATAGAGCATACAAAATACTGTCATTTATATCAGCTCCAAATTGTATCAAATTATGGATGATGTCAGTCACAAGCAGAAATAAAACAAAAACATATGATTCAAATGATCAGTTGAAATGCTCAAAGATCAATGTTTTCGTTTCCATTTTTACTTTTTAGCATGGCCATTAGGACTAATTTAAAATGTGTGACTTGCTTTGATTTTATATTATTGCATTTTACTACAATTTTTTTTTAAATATTTATTTATTTTATTGATGAGTACACTGTAGCTGTCTTCAGACACACCAGAAGAGGGCATCCAATCTCATTACGGATGGTTGTGAGCCACCATGTGGTTGCTGGGATTTGAACTCAGGACCTCTGGAAGAGCAGTCAGTGCTCTTAACCGCTGAGCCATCTCTCCAGCCCCTTTACTACAATTTTAAATTCAGTGTTGCGTTCTTGGGCATGTAGGCCTGCATTTTGATGATGCTGGGTAGTACAAGGATTGCCTTTCAAAGGCATGCCAGAATTGAACAGAAGGATGCTACACTTCTGGACAAAATCTGATGATAGCTTCAAAGACAGACTCGCTGAAAAAGATTTCACTTTGAGGGTATAGAAAAGTTTGAGGCCCATTTTGGTCTATGAATGTGGCTTTTGCCAATAATCATTACCCTCAATGCTGGTGGCAGATGCTTTCATGCTATAAACCAGCATGTGTCCCCCTCGCTCGTTGGGAACACCAGTGACAGAGTTCCCTTCCCATCCCCATGTCCACATCACCGAGCCCACTGTTGGGGCTGCAAGGAGAACCTGTAAGAGTCCAGGAATGGGGCGCTTCTTTTGTGTCCCATTTGTACCTCCAAGGAATCCTATAATACAACTGCCCAAGGCAGGAAGGCAGGAAGGACACCTGACATCCTGAAAAACTGGTTGTCATGGCAAATGAGATTTTACCATGTGTCTAAACTTCTCCTCTGAAGTGAATCATCTCAGAAAACATGGAGGAGATGGATTACAACTTTTAAAAAATTGGCTTCTAGAGTCAAGTGTGTTGGTGTATGCCTTTGATCCTAGCATTCAGGAAGCATAGGCAGGTGGATCTCTGTGAGTTCAAGACCAGCCTGGTCTGCTTGCTTAGCTGGTTCTTGGCCACTCAGAGCTACATGAGTTCTTTTCTCAACAGACACACACACACACACACACACACACACACACACACACACAGAGAGAGAGAGAGAGAGAGAGACAGAGACAGAGACAGACAGAGAGAGACAGAGACAAGAGATAGAAAGAGGAGAGAGAGAGAGAGAGAGAGAGAGAGAGAGAGAGAGATTGAAATTCTTGTTAAGAACAATACTAAATTACCCACCAATCCAGGACTGATCCCTGTATTTTTAATACACCCATTGCTCTGAGAACCACAACAGGAGAGAAGTTTCTGGGCAGTGAGGCTGTGTCTCAGCATTAGAGTTTACTACAGGATCAAAGCTACTCAAACCTCTAGGTACCACTTGGCTTATACTCTCCTACTTAGAAAATGATGTTACAGAACCACAAAGGAGACAAAAAGTATACAAATCCTCCTAGGAAGCTTGAAATGGAAAAGTCTGACTCTGATCACAAGGACCAGTCCAACAAACCTGGGGTTTGACTTGAGTTCTAACCTTTACTCTTTCTAAAAGTCTGTGCTATGGAAGAAGGGGAGGAGAGAGAAAGCCTGAGAGACGATATTATATTGAAAATACTAAAGCAACATTAAAGGCAATATGTGAACTAGACTGAAAAGAATTATATAAAGTGATATGGAAATAAATTTGAATATAGGCAATATGAAATTGTTTGCTTTCCAGGTATAAAACTGCTAGTATAGTTTTTTTTTAGGAAGATATGTTTATTTTGGGGGAGATAATAAGTGATAATTCTAAAAAATAGGACTGAAGCGTTGTTATAGTTTGGATGTGTTCTCCAGATATTTACGTATCCTTAAATCCAAATGCTGGCACTTGGAGACTTCGGGTGTAGCTGGGGTTAAAAGAGGCCACATGGGTATCGTCTCCCTGATGCTAGGGGCTTTATAAGAAAAGGAAGAGGATTCTTGTCATTCGCAGCCTTTTGTCAAGTTAAGGTCCAGTGAGAAGGTCCTCACTAGACGCCAACCAGATGTTAGTGCCAAGTTCTTAGGCTTTCTTACCTCAGCAACCTGAGTTAAATAAACTTGTATTCTTTAGGGGTTGCCTAATCAGAAATGTTCTTTTGTAACAGGAAATGGACTAAGAGACATAGGTCATGATGTTTGCAACTTTTCAAATGGTTTAGTGAAAAAGTAATTATATGTATGTACTGCGTGCACACACACATACACACACACAGAGAGAGAGAGAGAGAGAGAGAGAGAGAGAAACTCTAATGACTCTAATGATTCTAGTGACTAATGTAGGTGACAAATATGTACATAGCCCTTGTTGCGTTCTTTCAACTCCTCTGGAGAACTGGAGAACTTGAATAAAAAAAGTTGGAAGAATTTTATATAGTTAAAATGTATGTATAAATATAGCCTTTATATAGTTTTAAAGTTAACTGTATTGGTTTCTTGTGCACAGTTTTATTTGTTTTGCTTTTGGTGCTGAGATTGAGCCTACATGTGCTACCCAAGTGCTTACATCCTTAGGTGCAATTATTCATTAACAAAACAAAATGAAACGAAACAAAAGCATCATTAGCTGTCAATAAGGAAGATTCAGCTGAGAAATTTATAACCACCTATGGGCCAGTCACTTGAGGAGTTAGTTTACTGAAGGTTCATGTATCTGTTCTAACGAGGAGTTTCATGGCTGCGTGTGCGGTGTGTTCCGTGCTTTCTTGGGGTGTGTCCTTTTCTGTCCTTCCTGCTGGGTGGTTTCTTTCCAGGGCAGAGATTTTCTTTGTCATTCTTCTTTACCTTTGAGGTTCTCATCCACTGCTTCAGAGTACGGTTGTGCGGGCTGACACAGATTCTTCTACGTTTAACATGGAGGCTGCCAAGAAAATGGGAAAAAAACCCAAATCTTTGTAGAAATTACAAATATAAGCCAGGCGTGGTGACACACACCTTTAATCCCAGCACTGGGGAGGCAGAGACAGGTGGATCTCTAAATCCAGGCCAGACTGGTCTACAGTGACTTCCAGGACAGCCAGGGCTACACATAGAAATCCTGCCTGAGACAACAAAGACAAAGGAATTACAAATACACAAAAGAACTAGAGACTCCTGGGTAGCCCACCACCTTTTGGACATTGCATTTGTAGTGACTTCAAATTGAACACCAAGAAGATAAATCCTCACTTTACAGACATTGTTCCCATTGTCTTCAGATGTCTGCAGAAAGTATTAAACTGAGGACGAGGGAAGGGGAAATTGGATCAAGAAGAAGAGAAAGGGAAAGAGAAGAGGGGGAAAGAGAAACAAAGGAAGAAAAGAAAGCCAATAATAACAGACCCAGGTAAAGTAATTCGCTTCCATGTTTAAACTTCATCCAATGAAACCAATTCATCCTCACTGCCCATCCCGGCATCCTTGTCTGCACCCGCTCAGCGGCAGACCCTCTTTCTTCCCTGTGAGCCTGCACTCAGGTTATGCCTCTGCTGGTCCTTAATTTCCCATGCCTTTTGTTCTAGCAATTGATTTATTTCTTCATTACATTACATCTTGCTGGAGCAATAATGTAGATATAATTTTTGAAAAGCCCACATGCATAGCAGGCACTAACTTATTACAGATATGAAGTCAAATTTGGCCAATAGAAACATCTACTAAAATATTTTGGTGTCCAGTAAAACTTAATATAACATAGGTCTAAGTTACAATTCAGAATTTGTTCCAATTTTTCTACACTTACAATTTGGGTTAACTAGAAGACTCTCCTGTTATTAAAAAAAAAAAAATTAGGTGACTTTTAACTCTCCATGAGATGCCAGGCAAACCTGATGAAATACGGCAAATCTTGCTGTATCTACATGTAAAATGTAGCTGTGTCCTGATCAATTGAAACCCTAGAGCTTGATAGTCACAGGGGGATGAAGGAAGAGGCAGGGAATAGGCTACCATTTCTCCTAAGAGAAATCATTAGGAGACAATGTGTGGAATCAACAGCGGAGGAGAATGTGGAAGGGTGTGGGTGGGCTTTAGCCTCCAGTCTGTGGAGGAAAATCAATTCGAAAGGAATGGACATCCTGCTAGAAGACAGCATATTCTCTTAAGTGCTGTACATGGAGACGGCTTCGGAACCAGTGCTGATTCTCTGCCGCCAGTTGCTTTGTTCTTGTGGAAGAAAACCTGGCTGTTAGCAGCGCTGAGCTGGGGGGAAAAATTGCAACCTTCCTACACCCCCCAAAGAGAGAAAAAGGCATGCACAAAGAAGCCACAGGTGGCAGTAACTGTATGGGAGCTAAAGGAACAGGCAACTGTGTGGAAGCCTGTCTTATGGCCAGTCTGATAAGGCCACAACTTTGATTGCCATTCTATGATGGTGCTTAGAATCCTCAGGTATAGAACAGGCGCAACCTCAGCTGCATCCTTGATTTGTGATTAAAAGATAGAGAAACACTGAGCAAGGTGGTAGCTTCTCCCACACTCTCTCAGACACCTTCAGTTTTATCATACCTAACAGGCACAAGCGTACCTCACTGGAGTTCGAGACCAGAAACCAGGGAGACCTCCTGATTCTTACCCAGGGAGAATACTTACAAATAGCCCTTTGGGCAGTGCATGGAGGTATATGCCTTTAATCCCAGCATTAGGAGGCAAAGGCACGGGGATCTCTGAGTCCAAGGCCAGTGTGATCCAGGATAGCCAGGGCTTTGTAGAGAGACCCTGACCCTGCTCTCCTGCTGTGGAGACTATACCTGGGCTCATTCTCTAAAGTTTATTTCTCCCTTTTTCTCCTCAAAGCAGCATTTCAAATTTACTACTAAGAATTCCTAACCTCCTGAATGACTTCATTGAGGAAAACAACAACAAACAGATTTTTCTATCCAAGAGAGAATCTCCGTGAAGTGCAGGAAACCTCAGCCCCTGCCGAAAAGAACAGCCTTCTCTTGTGTTTCTGGAAGCTCCTTAATGAAGTCACTGTAGAGGGGTGTAAACAAGCAAACTGCTGTCTTAGAGCTCAAAGAAGCACAAGGATCACTCACAGGATCAGAAACAAAGGCTTTATCTCCAGGCAGAAAATGGAAAGGAAGAGTCTAGTAAGCTCATGGATGTTTGAATTCTATTAATTAATTAATATTAATTGTAGCTTATATGATGCTTGTGAGTTACATTTGTAACACAAGCAATGTTTTCTGCATCTTAAACACCGGTCTCAACTCATAGAGCCTTTATATACTGTCATGGTAACATACAACAGTTGAAGGCACAGACATGCTCTGGAGTGAAATGATTGGAAAATAATACTTCTTATATTGGGTATTAGAAATCATAACAGACAGGGTCTGTAATTTATCACTAAGAGATACAAAATCTAATTTTGAAACCAAATCACAGCTGCCTAGTTTTTCAACTTTCTTATCAGCACAGAGTTCAATTTAAAAATTTGACTTTAATTAAATATGTTTAAAAACAGTGATTGGCTCCATGATTTCTCTTTAATTAAAAACTGGTACTTTTAAAAACTAAAGGCTAATCCTTTAGTCATATGTTTCTTTATCAAAGTGAGGATGGTATAGTTTGACTCTGAAATATTCCTAAAAAGCTAATGTTTTAAATGTCTGCACCCTGACTGTGGTCCTGTCTGGGGATGCTGTGGGACATCTGGGAGATAGGACCTCGCTGCTTTAAGCATTCTGCTTCCACCTCACTTGGAAAGTCACAGTCCAGCAAGTGGTTCTAGCCTCACTCTCTGCTTCCTGGTCCACCATGGTGTGAAGAACCTCTGCCACTTGCAGCCTCTCACCATGAGTTCCACCATGTCTTGACGACCACCATGGACTGGAACATTTAGAAACTACCAACGGAATAAACCTTTCCTCCATCACGCTGTTTCTGTTAGGTGTTTTGGTCAGAGAAGTATAAAAGCAACAAAGAAGGCTTATGCCATTTTTCTTTTATGTCTTCTAGATCTCTGACATCCATTAACCACCCCTTTCCCCAAACTGAAATCCTATTACCTACGGTATTCGCTGATAATCCCAACAAGCTGTCTCTTAAATACCCATGGATACCTTTTGTATTTTTCTAATTCTACCTGAGACTTCCTTGTCAATATTATTAGGCCTCCGATAGGCTGAGATGACAGATATGCATGTCACTGATGTGGAGGGGCTTAAGGTGAACTGTGGGAAGTTTAGTGTTTCTCAGAGCAGCCAGACAGACTTGGTCAATTTAGTTCCGTAGTATAGATGCAATACAAACATCCAGATGACTCAAGTTGCTATCAGCAACCTATGAATTTTTCATCTGCCAACGATTGCCAATGATATTTACTAAGATTGAATAAAATACTGGTAGAATTTCCATCGAGTATACTATATTAGTCTTAGAGGACTTATTTAAAGGAGAGATTTAGGGGAGGGTCTCAGAGGGTTCAGTCCATGATTGACTGGCTCTAAGCATTTGGTGACAACATCATGACAGTAGGATTATGTGGTGGAAGGGGTTCTTCACATTGTGATGGACAGGAAGGAGGATCTAGTGACAGACTTCCTCCTACCAGGACCTATCTGCAGTGGGCCCCACCTTCTAGACTTTATCAAACCTCCCAGAATAGTAGCAAAGCTAGCTACAGATCTTTCATTCCATAATAAGCCTGTAGGAGACTTATTATATTCAAACTATGGTATAGAGATTGTCCAAATGTTAGGAACTTGACGTACCTCTTGGAAGAGGCCACCTTATAGTATGTGCCCTGGACTTCCAGCCACAGGTTACGCTGGTTCCCAATGACCAAACCATCTATGCTGATACATTCAGGGTAGTGTGAAAACTGAGGAGATACTGAGAGAGTTTTCCACCTCTCCACCCTCTGCTTCCCACTATAGACTCTCAAGATTACTTGATCTTGGATAAATAATTGTTTTCTCCTCAGCATTTGACCCTAAGTGTAGTTTTAAAACTTAATGTAGACCTCTGACTCCTTTGGGAATCTTATAAAATACATGGAGCAGATCTTCTCCCAGGGAACAGGTTTACACATAGAAATGTCAAGGAATTGATGCCCCCCAATCTGAAGGTTGTCTGTCAATGAATAGCTTATACACTCTTGCTCTGTCATGTTTAAGAATCCTTTGTCTTAGATAAGGGTTTATCAACATCTGTAGTGAGTGGGTGTCTTTGAAAAGATGCAGAAAAATCCTCAATTCATTATCTCATTCTTTTAATAATAAAAGAGCAATAACCAGGCATATGACACATCCTAAGCACTGTATTTCCTCTTTCTCTTGAAAACAAGTGTGTGAGTGTGTGTGTGTGTGTGTGTGTGTGTGTGTGTGTGAGAGAGAGAGAGAGAGAGAGAGAGAGAGAGAGAGAGAGAGCATGTAATTGTAGAAGTGATTTAAACTGCCAGATTATAGAAATCTATTCTATGGGCCAAGAGAACACAATAGGGTAAAAATCTCTTAGAGACCGCAGAAAACCAGAGGCCATTGAGTCTCTGCTGCAACCTCAGTTTATGGTTTCTTGTCAAATTTGTTACTAGAACAAAGGTTCTTGGGTGTCTCGAGAGTTCTGGAATAAGCAGTAGCGTGTTTTATATTCCAGTATTTTCTATTCCAAAGGGAAGAATGTCAAACAGCTCACTAGCATCACTAGGTGTATGAGCAGCGTTAAACTCAGCACATCAGGGGGTAACTCACATCTAACATAACAAAGCTTAAGAGGATAAGATTTGTCTTTGTTGAGATAAGCTATCACTATGTGACCCAGACTGACCTTGAACTGGTGATCTATCTGCCTTACCCTCCCAAATACTAAGCTTTTAGGCACATATCACCATAACTGACCTTGGAAAATCATGTTATGGTGAGCTTCACTCTTTCTTTTCAATGACCATGGAAGATGTATGGTGTTATTAAGCAAGAGAGCTTCATGGAATTCCATCCTTCTGCCGTTTGCTAGCAATACCAGAACATAGCAAATGAACTGTGTAATCTGTGTAATCTTTTTTTGTTTTGTTTTGTTTTGTTGTTTTGTTTTGTGAGATATGGTTTCTGTGTGTGTCCCTGGAACTAACTCTGTAGACCAGGTGGGCCTAGAACTCACAGAGATCTTTCTGCCTCTGCCTCCCAGTGGGAGGCAGCACCACCCTGCTGAGCTATGTAATCTTACCCACTGGTTTTTCTGCATGACATGAAAATAAATTCTGCTTTCCTCTCCAGTTGTTGTTAGCCTCCAGTTGCCAGGGGGAGGGTGTAGGCGGTGGGAGGGTGGAGGTGGGGAATGGAAGGGCTAGGAGGACCAGGAGGTTCAGCATGAACTAACACTCTAGAATCTTTAAAAGCAGATGAGAGCATCTGCAAGCAGACCGGATGCTGTCTTATGACAAGTATGTTTCAGATCTTGTAAGTTCCTTTTGAATTCAGAGAGTAAAAGTATCAGCAGCTGTTTGCTGCCTGAGGAAAGTTACAGATTAACGCCTCTGTGACACAGACATTGTTATCTCTGATTACTCGTTTATAGTAAAGTTACCAGTGATGTCTGGTGACTGAGGACATGTCACCCCAAAACAGCATTGTTGCATGTCTGAGGGGGTGACTGTAGGACTTAGGACATTCCTGCAGACAGATTGGGTGTTTACTCCAGGTAGCCTGGTGCTCCAAGAACAGAAGAGTTACTCTTCCTGAACTTGTTTGAATGATGTGTAGGATGAGTGTCAGATAAAGCATTCAGACCACTGCTTGTTAGCCAACGGGATAATCGGCATTCGGTTTCCCATGTCCTTGCTGAGGGGCACTCACATGACAGCAGCCAGGTCACAGTCCCCATCAGCTCTCTGGATGCTGCACGAATTCACTCTCTCCAGAAGTCTTCTGGAAATATGATGAGACACTTCAGTGCAACAGCTGGAGGCTATGGGAAGTATGGCTACAAGAAAGCGGAGAGCTTCCGTTACCGTCCGAGGAATACCAGCTTGTCTTCAACTTCAAGGTTCCGGGGAAACAGATGGTAAAAATACACAAGCAAGTACTTCTCGGGCTTTCGTGGGTGTAGACAAGGACAGGACGTGTCTCTGCCTTCTAGAACTTAAGCTGTATTATGAGAGAGAAAATGAGAGTCTGGGCAAAATGACAAAAGAAGTGAGAGACAAAAAAGACTGCACCAGTGATGCTGACAGAGCTGCACGAGGAGGATGGAAAGGGCGGGGCCAGTGATACTGACAGGGCTGCAGGTGGAGGATGGAAAGGGCGGGGCCAGTGATGCTGACAGGGCTGCAGGTGGAGGATGGAAAGGGCGGGGCCAGTGATGCTGACATGGCTGCAGGTGGAGGATGGAAAGGGCGGGGCCAGTGATGCTGACAGGGCTGCAGGTGGAGGATGGAAAGTGCGGGGCCAGTGAAGCTGACATGGCTACACGTGGAGGATGGAAAGAGTGCGGTCAGTGGTGTCCCATGCAGTTCATTTTGAAAAAGACAGGCTTCATGGGCTTCCAGCGAAGGCTTGACATTTTCTGTTAGAAGGACTTGGCTTGCCCAGCATACATGAGCTCAGCATACATGACTCAGTCTCCAGCACCATCAAAACAAGCATAATGGCACACAGCTGTAATCCCAGCATTTGGAAACCAGATCAGCCTGGGCTACATAGTGAGATTCTGTCTAAAAAACCAAAACGGATTAAAAAATAATTCTGAGACCAAAATACATGATACAGTTTGGGCTGCCTTTTTTTTTTTTGTTGTTTTTCTTTTGTTTTTTGTTTTTTGTTTTTTGTTTTTTTTTCTTTGGTTTTTGGTTTTTAGAGACAGGGTTTCTCTGTATAGCCCTGGCTGTTCTGGAACTCACTCTGTAGACCAGGCTGGCCTCGAACTCAGAAATCCCCCTGCCTCTGCTTCCTAAGTGCTGGGATTAAAGGCGTGCACTACCACTGCCTGGTCTGGGCTGCCTTTTCTGAACCTAGTAGCTAGGCAAGGTCAGTGTCAGTAAGTGTGATTCAGGAACCAGCATCACTAAATCCTCAAATGACTGTCTAAGGAGGCTGAGCTTTTGTGAAAAGGCCATCAATCCTTATCATTAAATTGATAGATAAAGATTAAGAAAATCCATCTTGTAGCAAAATGAAGACGTATTAATTGGTGGGAGGTGACTTATGCTGTCAATATATGAGCTCATACTGTCAAGATACGAGGCATTTGACACAGCGCAAATAAAAAAAAATGCCTTCCTCATATTGAAATAGCTGCAAATCCTTGCCACACACACACACACACACACACACACACACACACTTCATCTCACCAACTGGATAGTGAACACAAGACAGTGTTAGAAGTCACAATCACCAGGCTGCAGGTGGCAGCCCCAGAATGAGACAGAAGTGAGCTTCTGAAGGAATCAGCAGTCAGCTGGAACATACAAACCTCTCTACAGCGTCTCTCCAAGCAGCAGAAGTAGCCACCTTGGGAAAAGGGGAATATCTGAATGTTCATGTCTAGCCCACACAAAAGTACCAGGCCTACCCAGAGCTGTAGGGGAAGAAAAGCAACGTATATGAAATCTAAAATGTATGACTAATTCCTAAGCATCAGAACTTTGTTACCATTATTTTACTTGTTTACTCATTGCTCATGCAATCATCAAATGAAATACTTTGTTTTTTAGCAATTAGACCATTTCCAACATAATTTTAGTCAATGGGAGATGCAAAAATAAGTGAGATTATATACTCCTATACTCAAGAGTCTGTAGTGAAAGCAATTTGGAACTATATTCTTAGGATACAATCCCACGGGCCCAGGTAATTAATTAGGCTTCTGGGAGATGGTTCTCTCCTTCCCCCATGATGGTTCTAGGGATCAAACAAGAAAACGGATAAATACAAGGAGATTTAATAACACACACTTGAACAACCTTTGAGCTAAGAAAGAAACCATAATGGAAACTAAAAGATATCTTGAAATAAAGAAAATAATACAACAAACCTTAACGTGTAGAATACCACCAAACACCACTGCAAAAAAGCTTATCTCAATAAGCAGCTACAGGGAAAAAAAAAAAAACCCAAAGAACTTACCCAAAATTCCCACCAATAGCTCAATAAACAGTAGGCCCTCATCCAAGTACAGTAAAGGATATGCTTGATATGGATATACTCACAGATACTAATGTCTGTGAGGTAGAGAAAAGCACGAGACCTTCAAGAAAGCCCATTTGCATCTTGTAATAAGAGTGGAGAGACCCACAAGGCCCCATCCCTCCCAGAGGACCCATAGTCAGTCAGTGGTTGCTGGAGGGAAGAAAGACACTTTTTTTTTAGTGGGGCAGCCACTAGTAAGGTGCTGATTGTTCTATAAAAGAACCCTAAGCTGGGTAGTGGTGGCGCACGCCTTTAATCCCAGCACTTGGGAGGCAGAGACAGGTGGATTTCTGAGTTCAAGGCCAGCCTGGTCTACAGAGTGAGTTCCAGGACAGCCAGGGCTACATAGAGAAACCCTGTCTTGAAAAAAAGAAAGAAAGAGAGAGAGAGAGAGAGAGAGAGGGAGGGAGGGAGGGAGGGAGGGAGGAAGGAAGGAAGGAAGGAAGGAAGGAAGAAAGAAAGGAAGGAAAGACAGAAAGGAAACCCTAAAGAAACTCACTGAATCACTGAATCATAGCCAAGCACAGCGGGAGGAAAGGACATGAAGGGAAAGGGTTTCTGACTTGGATGAGGATGAAGAACAGCAGAATCGAAAGGTGGTGGGAATGAATATAATCAAATATAAGTGTCATAATGAAATATGTTACAGTATATAATGAATACATGCAAAAACTGGGGGGAGGGTAAAAGAATTTCAATTTAATGTATTTTTTATATTCCCAGGAAAATAGATGATACAAAATATACCCAAATATATGCTAAATATATACTTATGTAAATCCATTTACAAAAGATCCTCAAAAACGTGTAAACTACGCATTCTAGTTAACAACTGTGTTTGAACTATAACTATGAAAGTGATACAAAGCATTTGTTCTTCTGCCCAGCTCCACTTCTCAAAGTAGGAAAATAAGTCTTTTCCAGAGTAAACCATCATGCACCAGGATCGTCCTTTATTCTAGTCATCTATGCCTAGTCAGAGGTTTTCATTTTGCTATGCATATGGGTGAGCATAGAGTCAACCAGATGCTTTAGACATAGAAAAAAAAACAATTTGTCCAGAAAATATTTTTTGAGTGGCCACCATGTGACAGACTTTCAGTTTCAAATATCTGACCTTGCGATGCTCAGTAGTCCAATGGGAGGATAACAGATGTAAAGTTACTGTAACCTACTGGATGAGCATTGGGTAGGGAGCATAGCTCACTGGTACTTGCCTGATATTAGAAAATGCTGGTTTCGATCCTTAGCCAAAAAAAAAAAAAAAGCAAACAAACAAACAATGTAAGTGCTGAGTGAGGTATGTTGAAAATGCTATGGGATCATAGCTTAAAGAAACCATGTACACACTGCAGAACCCAGTTTATGTGGAATGCCCAGAACAGGCAAATCTATGAAATGAAAACTGGATTCGTGGTTGCCAGAGGCTGGGAGGAGGAAATGGGAACGGTTGCTAACAGGAACAGGATATCCTTTCTGTATTATAAAAACATGCTATAATTAGAGTGATGAAGGATTCACAAATGTGATTCTATCAAAAATCCCTGAGTCGCATTTTAAAATGATGAATGTTGGTGTGTAGACACTAACTGTAGTTATGTTCATTAATACACTGATTTCCTAAAATCATTTGTTCTTCGAACTGCTTATTCTCCCAGTCAGACTCTTGCTATACCAAATTACAATACTGAGGTTTCTCGTGTATCCATCCATACACTTATCTGTCTCACTATATGTGCTATGGTTCGACTGGAGTATCCCTCACACGTTCATGTACTGAATGGTTGGTCCCCAGACAATGGCATTATTTTGGGAGGTGATGGAAATTTTAAGAGAGGGGACCTAGCTGGAGGAAGTGGGTTACCAAAGGCATCCTGTCCTCTCTGCTTCCTGTGTGCCACGAGGTGAGTGCCCTCTGCCACGTGATCCCACTGCAGACATGCTCTGCCTTGTCACAGGCCCAGAATCAACAGAGCCAAGGACTACAGACTGAAACATCAGAAACCGTTAAACAAAATGACCAAGTTTTCCTTTTAAGTTGTGTTTCTCCAGTACTCGTCACAGGAGCAGTAAAAACGATCTGATTACACGGCTATACAGAACTCCCAGGGTGAATCATGAAGGCTGCTGGCTACAGAACCCTGTTATCAGTTCCAGGCAACTCTCAACGATGGCCTGTGCCCCTTAGAAGCATGGGGATGAGGAGTCACAGAAAACCTGTGTGTTAAGGAATATGAGTTACCCAAGTGCTGGTGCATCAGGGACCTATACGTGTTTCATAAAACTGAGATGCACTACTCATGAAAAATGAAGGATTAGTTCATCTGGAGACTACCTGATCTGTGAGATTGACTAATTAAGAAAGTCATAAGCATCTAAGCATTTAGTATATGTTGGTAGTTATGACCAGTGATGTCTTGACGTGGTCCAAAATACAACAGACCAAAAAGAACTCTGAAGAGGCACATGGGAAGTTGGGTGGTGAAAAATTAACAGGATAGAGTGCATGAGGGCAGTGTCAGGATTCTGTTGGATGACACTGCCCCCTAGAGGTTCTCTTATGCAAAGTCCTGCTGCCAGCATTTAAAAAAAAAAAAACAAAAAACACTCCACTGCTTACTTTGATTTTAGTCACGACTCCAGAATTTTACATAAGAGAGATTTAGAGGTATCAAGTAGGCTTATGAAGAGAATTATGTTTGAAACTTCTAGTGGAAAATATAGAAGGAAAACATCAAGACATAGGTATAGGCAATGTGTTTCTGAATATTGCTCCAGCAGCTCAAGGAATAA